GTGTGTGTGTGTGTGTGTGTAGTGTAGTGTATCTTACATGAGGTAAGATACACTTACCTCATGTACCTCATGTATCTTAACCTCAGAGGTAACAGGTTAACTCAGGTGTTTGTTTTGCTTTCTAATATGGACACAAATGGAACTTTTCAGCCGTTATTTTCTTTTTTTAAGCTGTAAATACTTCATTAACCTCAGGAATCTGTAGTTTGTGGGTTCCTCCCCCTCGTGTTCTGACGTCACTCCTCTCACAGCGTCTGTCCTCAGCTGCAGAGCGCCATCTGGAGGGAGACACCCTGCGCTCCTCAAACATCCAAACTCTACTCCAGCTCTAATAAATAAGAGACATTAAAATTAAAAGTATATTCTGTCCCAGATATATTTTTACTGAGCTCAAACTTCAGAACATTTTGCTTCTAAAGAGTCAAACGTTCTTCTAATTGTTTTAAACCCTTATTTTTGCCCAATATTATTTAGTTTTTATATCTTTGGTTTAAAGAACCTCATCAAAACAAAGGTTTTGTGTGAACTCATAAAAAAATTATACCTCAATCTTTTCCAGAACTTTCTAAATTTGGTCCTATTTTATGCCACTTTTCTTATTTTTAGTTGTCAAAGATTCCTTCAGGGTCGAGTGTTGCTCTTTAGTGTTTGTTAAAAACATTATAATAAGATGCACTGAGAGCCGATTTAACAAGGACACAAAATAAAAGCTTTAAAGAGTCCAGAGCACTATTAATGAAACTGATTTAAAAGAAAATTAGAAATAAGGAATAATAATGATCCCGATGGAACCTGAATAACCTCAGCGTACGACCTCTTTGTGGGTCCGGGTCCTCAGGTTGAGAACCACTCACTGGTTGCAGAACTTGAAATTCGAAGGCTCGGCTCAGATCGCCGCGCTCGTTACGTGTTTTTATTTTTTAATTTTTCAGTGCAGGACACTGACGAGTCGTTACAGTTTGTTGTTTTTTTTACAGTTTGATGTTTTTAATCACTTCAGCTGAATCAAGTGTTAATCAGTGACTGCTTTACAACTTATTTATACACAAACAGCAGAGCTTCTTGTACATACTTGTCTTGATTTGTTACTCAGTATCCTGTAGCCCTTTACCTGTACAAATGTATGAACTGTGTATTTTTACTGGGTTTTTTTTTTTTTGTATTTAATAAATTAACCTTTTTACCAAAATGCTGCCGTTTTGAGAAGTGAAAGCTGATTTCAGCTGTGCTGGAATAGTTGATGTTCATTATTGTTTGAATCTGATTGGCTTTGTGTGTGAGGGGGGCGGGGCTTGTTCTGTTCACACAGGCAGTAAATCATGACTGACAGCGAGGCGGCAGCAGCAGCGATGGCTCTCAGCCTCACTCAGGAGTATTTTCACATCCCTGTGGTGACCCGAACGTACACGACCGCCTGCGTCCTCACCACCGCTGCCGTGGTAAGAAACAAACAAACAAACAAACAAACAAACATGCAGTTTGTTGTCTTCTTCAAAAACAAAACTATCAAGCTGTTGTAATAAAAGCTCTGTACGGTTTCATAATTGTTCAAGTTCATGAGGTAAAAGTTTACGCTTCTTCCTGCTCATTTTTATTTGTTTCTAAAAAAACATTTATTTTGTGTCATTAAAACGTAAAGAAAAGTCAGTTTTTGTAATTTACGGAAGAACAAAATAAAACAGTTTGAGCAATTTAATGACAGCTAAATGGAGTGGTAAGAGCAGGTTGTAAACAAGGCTGTGTGAAAGTAGGGGTGCACAGGGTGCTGCAGCACCCCATGATAGAATCACAGCAAATGATTAAGAAAAATAAAACCCAATATAAACATATTTTTATATTAGTTTTGTAAATCTGGTATAAAAAGTTCTTGTATTTCTGTATCTAAAAGCTGCGGGGCTTTTATTTTGACGTTTTTTTTTGGCAGGAAATGATGTTTTTGTTACTATTGTTGATCTGTTCACCCGGGAAATATTTCTATAACTGTGAACATAAACTCAGTAAAACAATGAAAATTTACAAACATTGTCTTTGTATAAAAAACTCACAAATTTTATTTAAGCTATTTTTTTTTTCATTTTCATATTTTTGAAGCAACTAGAAGTCATCACCCCGTTTGAGCTCTACTTTAACCCGGAGCTCATCATCAGGAGATACCAGGTAGAGATTTAATTTTTTTAAACCTAAACCTGATGTATTATTTTTAACACTTCTGTTTGTCCTTGTGTTTTGTCAGATATGGCGTCTGATAACCAGCTTCCTCTTCTTCGGCTCTCTTGGATTTGGTTTTATATTCAACATCATTTTTCTGTATCTTTAACTGCAGAATTTAACTACTTATTTTAAAAAATAAATAAATGTGACCCATCACATCAAACTGAGGATTAAACAGGCAACTTATATTTGGGTCATTTGAATAAAATAGCTAAAATGTGATCTTAAGGAATTTTTTTAACAAAAAATTTACAAAAGATATGATTTTGAGCAGAAAAGTCAATTTTTTGTCATTTTCCCTGCGAGCTTTTTGAGGTTTCCTCTTTAAAATGACAAAAAGAAATCCTCATTAGAATAAACTGAAATAGGATTCAGACCAAATGAGTTCTGATTAGGAAAACAAGACATTTCTCTGATGATCCAGGTTTCAGAATAAAAGCAGGAATCTGAAAATGTGCTCCGGTTGTTTTGACCAGATTAAACTTAATCCTCAGTTTGATGTGATGGCTCATATAATCTGGAGAAAAATCCTTAACCCGTGTGAGTTATCGATACTGTCGCATGCTGGAGGAGGACTGCTTCCGAGGAAGAACGGCCGACTTTGTTGTTTTGTTCCTGTTTGGAGGATTCCTCATAACCGTATCCTTTCTGGTTTTAATTTTCAGGTCAAGGTCTGAAAATTCAAAAAAAAAATTATCAGAATATTAAAATATGACAATATAATTAAAAAAACTAATCCAAAATATTAAAATTAAGAGTCTGAACAGACT